TAATTATTTATAAGGTCAGTAACTTTTGCCATCCGGATGAAGAAACCGGAGCTATGTATACAGAAGAAATATCTTCAACCACTCCTACTTCCTTGGCCGACATCAAGGCCAATTAATCAATAGTAATCGTAGCTATTGAATGACCTAATTTGACTACGATTTTTCGTAGTCAATTGTAATTGTTGAAATCATGAGTCAGTTGAAGCTAGACCACCATGGAAAACCTGGAAGCACTGGACGACCGTTTCGTTCTAGTATGGGACTCCTCAGCAGTGCTCATTCACGATCCCGCCCCACACGAGATTCGAAACTCGCGCGCGAGCACTGAGGAGTCCCATACTAGAACGAAACGGTAGTCCAGTGCTTCCAGGTTTTCCATGGTGGTCTAGCTTCAATTGACTCGTGATTTCAACAAGTGAAATTTCTAAAATCTCCACAAAACCCCTTCTGACAATTGTAATTGTCTCTATTATCTTTACTTACAAATCTTTGTATTATTATTATTATTACTATTAGTTAAACATCATTAATAATCTCCCCTATACATGATTCATTCACGTTGCATTCATCCCTCCTTATTACGTCTTACTAATTTTTCACACAATATAGCCTTCCACTAAACTTTTGACCGAATTGTAACTGTACTATTATTTCTTTCACTCTATCTGACCCATATTTATTCTGATCATGGGTCTTGAATTTTACTTAACATAAACGCAGATTCAAGTTAACATTCTATGTGAGTCATATCAATATGTTGATATTCTTTAAAATTAAAAATTTGTGTATCAAACATAAATCATTCATTACTTCAGAAATTAATGAATATTACTGTATTAATTCTTAAACCGAATTTACTTTCCCTTCATGGCTACTGTTTTCTAATGGTAGGATAAATTCTTGTGAAATAAGCGATCATAAATAAGTTGTAGGTTAAGCTAAAGAGACGTGGTTAGTGTAGATGAAATAGCCTAATTTTTTTCATTGATTTATTTCAGTCATTCCAACTCACATAAAATCTATTCATCTATTTGAAATTATATAATCAAATTTTACATCATAACTAGTCAAAATGTAACAAACAATTATTCAATAAATCTTAATTTATATATATATATATATATATATATATATATATATATATATATATATATATACTGTTGAGAAGTTCCGTACTAGGACGAAACGGTGGTCCAGTGCTTCCAGGTTTTCCATTATGGTCTAACTTTAATAGACTCATGAATTCAACTATTAAATTACTACAATCTCCACAAACCCCCCTTCCTGATAATTGAACAGTTTTGAAAATGAACTCGCGGTAAAGTTTTTTTACTAATTGAATGAACTGTTTAAGGATTTAATGGGTAGAAATCAGTTTTGTCTAAATAATATGTATGTAACGATATTAAAGGTATTATGTTTCAAATGTGAAATGATTTATGCTTATTTTTATAATTTTTCAGAGTATGTGACTATATATGTACTCTTGAAAAGTTGACCTGCAATAACTAACTGTTAACAGTAACATGTAACGTTGTTATCTTATCCTTCCCCTCAAGATTGTGTTTTAGTCCTAAATATGTGAGTATACCCTATGCTATAAGGCATGTTTACAAATATTGATTAGTTTTCCTTAATAATCGCTCATAAACTTGCTGTTTTAGATATGGCTAAAGTGGTATTCATAGTTTTGATTTGTATCCACATTTTGTGTTCCATCTGAATATAAACCATGTAGAAATAATTATTAAATTTCTGAAGATTTTTTATATTAAAGGACTTTCCAGTACTTCAACTGGTATTTTATTTGTTGATTTATATTGAAAGATGAAGTTGATAAGTGTTAAGGGAAAGTGTTCTCTGTTTAAAATTCAGTCTTACTGTTAAAAAAAAGCTCATATTTCATATTAATTTAATAGTTTCAGTATTAATATGATTTCAAGCAATTAGTCCCTTTTACAAATTTCGATAGAACAATGATAAGACAGAGTTGATCTGAAATATGTGATGTATTTGCGCTATACATTTCGAACAATCTGATCACACATATAGTTGTCAGGGCACTTTATATGAAAATTAATAAAGGTCAATGAAATAAAAGTTCAAGTAAAAGAGGTAACAAAGGGTTGAGAAGCAATTTTACATCGTATAAAGAGAATAAGAAATTGTCGTATTATCCTAGGCCATAGAATGACTTAAGGATTATTCAATTAATTGAAATCATGTGTCAATTGAAGCTAGACCACCATCGAAAGCCTGGAAGCATTGAATTTCAATTGACTCATGATTTCAACTACTGAAATTTCTAAAATCTCTACAAAAACCCTTCTGATGATTATTCAATTAGTTCCCCTATTTTAAGTATCTAGGCATTATTTATAATTAGTTTCACAATTCATGCCAACTAATTTGACTGGTTTCATACCAGTAAAAATCATGTTATATTTGAAGTTTATTTAACTGTAATTTAGTTGCATTAATAGAGAAAAAAAAGAACTATTTTTGAATTCAACCTTTAATGAGCCACTTCATGTGTAATTATAAATCAAAACAATATTTACTAAGGTGATTTCTTAAAGATTTTATACAATTTGAATGTAACCTTCATAAGGAAGTGTGATAGAAGCGAAGAATAATAACTCAGTAGCATAAGAACATAGAGTTCAATTTTTCTTCTAGTGAACTTGGTTTGTAATAAAAGCGACCTTTATAGAAATATTCACCTTAACAGTATCATGAACATAAAACTTCTTGATTAAGTGTAAATCTATTCAATATCAACGAAATGAATTTAATGAATAAATTGTTAGTTTAGGCAATTTTCCATTTGATTATATAACTACTACATTTATCGCACGATAAGGTTACATAATAGCAAAAGAAACATTATCGCAATTTCCTATGTAACTAACCTTAATTACCAGGTGTTTAAAGTTTAATGACTTACTGATGTTTTTGAAAATGCATTTTATTTTACTAATTGTAAAAGCGGAAGCTGAGTCATTATGTTTAACTTGAAAAATACAATTCCTTTGAAGCCTTGAGATTTAACTGATAAAAGTTTCAGAATGGAGATTTGTAGAGATCGTAGTAATTTTAATAGTCGAATTCATGAGTCGATCTAAGCTAGACCATCATAGAGAGCCTAGGAGCACTGAACTATCGTCTTGTCCTAGTATGGAACTACTCAGAAGCGCGTATTCACGACCCTGCCCGTGGAATTCGAACCAAAGGCCTACGGTCTCATACCAGAGCGCTTAGCCTCTAGACCACTGAGCTGGCTTCCGACAGTATCAACGTTTAACTTAAATCGATCCATGATCTTGCACAACCCTTCATCCATTGCCTGAAGTGAATAGCTGTCTCCATCTGACACGGACTGGACTCCACTGGTCATGGGTTCTCATTAGGACTCCAAGGAACTCATTTCGAATTTATCCGGCATAGTGGTCTAGAGGTTGAGAGTTCACGCGCAAGACCGAAGGTTCTGGGTTCGAGTCCCACGTATGGGATCGTGGCTGCGCACTGTTGAGGAGTCCCATACTAAGACGAAACGGCCGTCCGGTGATTTTAGGCTTTAAATGGTGGCCTAACTTAGATCGACTCGTGAATTCAACTGATAGAAGTTTATAAAACTAAAAATTGAATATAGATTATCTTTAAAATACCGAAAGCATTTTCGGAGCCGTATCTAGAAACATGCACTCATTTATGAAGGTTACATATTGATATTTGATATCATAAAACATTTTGTAGATATTCTGTTGAAGGCACTTTAAAAAGTGCCAGTAATATCCGTTTATTTTCTGTTTTCGTATTGTATTTGACTTTGACAGCAAATCAAATACATGAAAATACTTTTAACAAGATTACGTGTTTTCGAATTGTTGAGGTTGTGAAAGCGTTAGTTGATCACGTTTATGGGTAGCTACCTATGATACCCAAATTTCAAAAATCGCAGCATAACGGTGAATAATATTTTTCCAATGACAAAATTTCTTTAGTAAATTGTTAGATGTTACCATAGTTATATCATCTACTGGTTAAGTGACTTCATTAATAGCACGATTTCAGTGAACGATTATGGTATTTTGCAAGAGTATTATAGTTGTGCCCAATAAGCACACATCCCACTACTAGTCGAATACACATCGTTATAAATATTATTGACATTAACCGCACATGAAACACTTCTTAAGTACTACTATTATTATTCTTACTATTATTATTATTACTACTACTACTACTACTATTCGTAATACCTTGCCAGCTAAACTTAAAATTGCTTACGGGAGCAGTCTAATTCAAATCTAGTTGGATGTCAGCATTTTACCTCAAAACATCATTTATTGTATTAAGCCATGTGTCATACTTGAAGAATTTTACTGATATCAAATTAACTTTGATTATATGACATGAGGTATACAACTCAGTTATGCTAAATTTTCTTCATGAACAAGCTCCTGGCACTTGATTGATAATATATTCACACGAAACAGTTTAATGATTTTTCAAACTTGTGTTTGGTTTATTCAGAGTAAAATAACAGAACATTAAGTACTAATTCATTATACAGGAAAATTTAATTACGACCTGATCTACATGTGAAGAAAATTCCATAAAATAAGGACTGAATAATTATTTTGTCATAATTTATGAATTATTAGCACTGCTTTTCTTCATTAAATGCAGAATCAAATTGAATAATTTCATGTTCAATAGAGTAAACAATACTATTTAGCAATTGACTAATATTTAACTGGATCATATTTAATAATTTCTATCAATTTACAATCAATATGACCATCCCCTAAAGTCGTTTGTGAGCTTCCTCATTTTTAATTAATTGGATTCCGTCAAAAAAAACCCAGATTTTTTTATGTATCCTGGGTAACACCAATACAGAATTATGCAATATTCATAATTCAATGAATGAAAAATCAGTATTTTAGTTGAAATTAATATGGTCTATTGATTAAAAGGTCATTCAATATACTTACCTTTTAAATTTTTCCAACATTTTATTTGGAATTCATGGACATTATAAGAAAACTATGAATAATTCACACAACTGTTGATATGATAATAGACTTTATTCAAAACTTCATTTATTTAAAATTATTCCATCCAAAAGCATTCACATTTAACGTTGGAGTATATCTAGTTATTGTCGTGATTGTTAACATAAAAAAATAATTTCTTTCTATGAACCCATTCAACTAAATGATATCTTTCTGTGAAAAAAACACACACATGTAACCAGACAACATAATAATAGGAAGACGATGAGTGTCACCAATAAATGTCAAGTTTATTCTCATTTATCTTTCTGTATTGGTTCACTAGATAACAAACTATAAATGTTAAATACCATATTCTCCCATTTTTCTGTCAAAAATTACCTAGGCCACGTATATAGATGTACGTGTATGAATGTCATTTTATGCATATATATATATATATATATATATATATATATATATATATATATATATATATATATATATATATATATACTGTTCTTTATTGCAGACAACTATTCACGATTGTGTTCACAGTTGTCTGTTTGTGTATTTTTTTGTAGGTTTGTTTATATATAAATATGTATTCATACTTTAGTTACATAAAGGTCAGTAAGAAACACCCAAAACCTCACTAGATGTCATTTTATTTTGTCCCATAGTATTTGATTGGCACAAAAAATTATTTTACTCCTTAGTTTAGATAAGAAATAGAAAGTATGAAAGTATAAACGTAACATAATAAGAAAGTTCTCATTTTTTAACTAATCTGACTCAGTCTTTGAAATAACGAAAGTATAGAGATGTAAGCAACAGAACTAAAGTTTTTTTAATGAATAGAAGATTTTAACATGATATAACTTTTCAATTACAATTAGAAATCATTAAAACAATCAATAAAAATAATATAAGGAAATACTGGTATCTGATTCCCTCTGTCATATGTGTAATTTAATTTATAAGATAATCAATTAGAATCAGTAATGGGTTGTGGAAATTGTTAAGTTTTTTAATTGAGATCATGAATAAACCGATGTTAGGCCACCATTGAAAACCTGAAAGCATAGGATGGCTGTTTCATCCTAGTATGGGACTCCTCAGTGGTGTATCTACAACCTCACAAGTGGGATTTAAACGTTGTTTTTAAATAACTAATGAAGACTAAACTGAAACATACAACTTGAATTCATTCAAAAGTTTTAAATGATTTTTAAGGTGATTTACTTAAATTATAAGATAGTTGTCAGTTAGTACATGGTATTTATTTTTTTCTAAAATATATAGAAGTAATGAGTAGTAAAATTTAAGTAAAAAAATTTCATAATTTGATAATATACATTAATCTTGTAGTATAGAAAAGTAACTAGAATATATAAATTGGAAATATGAATTATCATATTGCTTATTCAATTAAGTTTTCAGTGATATGTTTCATTCCTAATTATATATAAAAGATTTAATATATGTAATTAATTTAGTGGAAATGAATTGTCACAGGTATACTAACTATTAAGTTGTTTATTCAAAATGATTATAATAATACAACATGAATGTTAATAAAATTTATAAAACTTAGCTTAGTAAGTGAAGCTCTTATTAATTCAAAGAATTTACATTAGATTTATCAGTAAATTTACACTGTTCGTATATGAAAGTACTAGAAATAACTCATTTCCTTCAAATGAACAATTACTTGAAGCCATAGAATAGATAGATATGGATATAAAACAATCAAACACGTGCTTCCACCCAAGTTTTCATATTATTTCAGTAGGGCAGGATGCAATTAACTAGAGATCAAAATAATATGGTAAAAATGATAATGAGAATGTCTGGACTTTGGAAAATTATATATGAAAGAATACTGAAATTCGAGATCGAGATGATGGTAAATAGTGGATATATTTGGGTCATTGTGAATAGTTCCAAGTTATATCAACCAAAGTCTTCAATATCTGAATAGGTCCATTATGTTGATCCCAACCAAGTAACCTGTATTTGTACACATGGGCCAGACCGACAACCAATGATTAAATGTGTAATGAACGAGCACTCAAATGGAGAAAACCAAATAATTTTAATTCAAAATTACAGAGTTCTTTGGTAGAATGTGAAAACGGTACGTCCACTACATCACTTCTAAATTCTCCATCAATTGTCTCAAACTTCATCGTTCTTTCATTGCCATAACAATTACTCTCCATTCCCGTTCTCTTCACTTCGATCTTCTCGATCTTCTGCTGCTAGGCATTCCATTTCTGATGTTATAAACTATTTATGTTGAGATAGGTCCTGGGTTCGAATCCTGCGAGCGGAATCGTGGACGCGCACTGCTGAAGAGTCCCACAATAGGACGAAATGGCCGTCCAGTGCTTCCAGGTTTTCCATGGTGGTCTAGCGTCAATTGACTCATCATCTCAACTATTAAAACTTTTAATTAGACAATAAATTTTATATAATTAAGTAAATGATATACACCCTTAACAGGATTAGTTCATCCAGACAAGAACAAATTAATAAATAGTAATATGTAAAATTGATTTATTTTATTTAAAATGTAATTTAATAAACTATGGATTACATCACAATAGTTCTATACAAATTATTCCAAGTATGGATTAATAATAAGTTAATAAATATTATAGAAAATGCATACAAAACTAATTGTAATAATATTTTCAGGGTGTATCAAAGAATATCATTGTCTCATTATAAAAAACAAACATAATTAACTATACATGAATAAGTATTAAGTGTACTATTTAAAAGTGGTAATTATCTCTTGAAATAAATGAATCGTTTCTGTTAACTTTAAACTTACGAAATTTAAAAGCGATTCATTTTTTTGGGAATAAAATCCAAGGTAACATGGTTATTATATTTTAACAAACTAATAAACAATATGTTTTAGAAAGAAAAAAGAGGATAATCATACGTAATTCAACAATAATAAACATGAATGAACACTATTTGGATGTTACTGGTCCACCAGGGTGCTTGGTACCTGTGTGGTTACGCCACAGGATTGAGATGTACTATTCAGATTGTAGCGTTAAAGCCTATACGGTGTCTGGTTCTCCTGTGAAGCGGGATTGAGCTGTACTGCTCGGGTTATAAAATTTAAGAATGGGAGGTGTCTGGCTCTCCTGTTAAACGGGATTGAACTGTACTGTTTTGGTTGTCACGTGAACGTCTGAATGGTGTCTGGTTCTCCTGAAAACCAATGTAAAATTACCCTGGCCCACAAGGGTATATTATATAACTAACTAACTAACTAACTATTTGGATGTTATCCAAAGTTATTTTAGATTGTATTCACTGTGATTATGTGTATCAATTAGTAAATATGATTGATAAGTTTTCTCAATCGATGTGAAATATCTATTAGAAAGTAAATATAATAAGATAAATAATCCTTTGGCTTCTATAAAGCTATTTTAAATCTAATAAATATATGAAAAATATGAAAAGACAAAACAAATAAAGCATGCCTCTCACCTTATCTTACTTTGACATTGAGTGAAGTGATTAAAAACGTTATTAACCTTGTGTATATTAAACTTTCAGAGTGAGGACTGTGAAAAAATCCTAGTCGTTTATATAATGTTAAGTTATTTATTTGAGGGCATGTGTAAGTAAAGAGATAACCAGCTATGTGAAGCTGTGATTTAGTAGATAAGTCATTCAACTTACAACAAAAATGCAGAAGAAGTGGATTTCAATAAATGATGAAACGACAGAAATTTAAATTTCTACTCATTGGGTTATCACGAAATATCATTATTTTGTAATTATAGGGCTGAAAACTGAAATCTCAATCAATCTATATAGGTTCTTCTTATCAGGTTACATCACAAACACTGACATAATAATGTAGCTGAAAACGAATCCAATAAATTTGTTCTTGGAAATGAAATGAATAGTACTGCTAGTAATATGGTACTCTATTCAGATATATTTAAAAGTTTTTTTATAAGAAGATCATTTGTCTGAAGATTATAAAAACATGATTAGTAAAATACAATAATTTCTTCGTTTACCTGAAATAAAGTTAATAACAATCATGTATACACTGAAGATAAGCAAATTCAATTTAGTTATTTATTTTCTGAAGTAGTGACTTACATTGAGTCATGAAACGTAAGAAAATTTAATTTTTCTACTCATTGGGATATTACAAATATATTATTTTACTTATCACAATCTACCCAATGCTCCATTTATTCGAAATCATTAAGTCAAACCTTGGTAATGATACCTAATTAATAGTAAAATAACAGAAAGTTTCACAATAATACAATAGTTTATTAATATCTAGATATATTGAAGTATAAGTTTATGTTCATGTTACAGTTCCAGTCTTTATCGTGTCAGTTATGAGCTGATAACATTGATCTGTTTTTAGTTTTAGTTGAATCGCACTGAAAGTAGATAGATTGTTATTGTAAGTTTGACATGGATATGTTGTTTCTGTGTATTTACCTGCCATGAAAAATCTTCATAAACGAATTAGGTATATACATTTCGATTAAGATTTGAACTAGTATAATCAAAGTATATACTTCAAGACAACAATAAGTTTTCGTATCATCCGACTTATTCTTCTGTGCAATAACTAAGCAATTTTAATACTTATTTTTCATGCTGTAAATATTGAATCATCGACTTTTTCTCCCTAATTCGTTTATTATCTATTTTTAAAAGAAAGAATCAACCTGTTTTAGCTTACACCAACCATAGATAATTGACAATTAAAACATTTCATTTTGTGTATTTGTGATAAATATTAGTAATCGAAGGACTGATATGTTTCTATAATTCCAGCACATTATGTATGTCATATAAATGAATATAATAAGTGTCTAATAGACATTAAAATTGTTTAAAACCATTAAAATAAATTTTATTTGTCTGGAAATTAACTTTATTAAAACAGAATATGATGTTACAAACATTAAGTAACATTTTTCTAAGTAAAACTAATGATGCATTTATGACCTACTGTATAGTTGAATCTATCTTGATCATGAACCGATTAATGTTAAACCACCATTGAAAACCTGAAAGCATAAGATGGCCATTTCATCCTGTTGTGGGACTCCTCAGCAGTGCGCATCCACGATCCCAGGGCCTTCGGTCTCGCGTGCGAAGGCTTAACCTCTATTAGATGCCATCGTTCGCGCTC